GCATTCATCTGACGACGGTCCTGGCAGCTCCTCCACGGAGCCACTCTGGGCTGTTTCTTGCCTGCTTTTCCCTACATCCCCAAACCCAGCCTCTGCTGCTGAAGCCCACCCACTGCATCTTTCTGGCAATTGGGCAGGAGAAGACCCAGCCATGGGAGGATGCTGGGAACAATAAGGGGATAGGCTGGAAGGAGGAGCCGATAGGGCCTGACAGTATGCACTGCAGGCAAGAATCCGTATCTGGGGCTCCCTCTCAGAGTCCCGGGTCCTCACTTCTGCCTGCTACAGCCCAGCCAAGTGGCCACCCAGCCTCAGAAAACTAGCCAGTCCCTGGGTGACAGGCCATGGGGATTAGCCAGTTCCCTGTGGGCTCTGGAGATCTAGGGAGGGGATACAGTGGGAGGTAAAATTCACATCTTTGCTGCTGCCTTTAATGAATGTGGCAAGCGATTTCTGCAAGGCTGGACCTATGGCTCAGTAACACCCCAGGAACATCGGTCTAGGGAGGGAAGGTGACTCCTTGCAACAGAAAGGCCAGAAAAGTCTATGAGCCAAATGACTCACATCCCACTCCAGGTGAGTTGCCCCAAGGGTAAATTTGGCTCCATGTTTTTAGAAGTAAAATCAACACCACAGAGAAAAGGTTTAGGTTGGATATTAGGAAAAACTTTTTCACTAAGAGGGTGGTGAAACACTGGAATGCATTGCCTAGGGAGGTGGTAGAATCTCCTTCCTTAGAAGTTTTTAAGGTCAGGCTTGACAAAGCCCTGGCTGGGATGATTTAATTGGGGATGGGTCCTGCTTTTGAGCAGGGGATTGGACTAGATGACCTCCTGAGGTCCCTTCCAACCCTGATATTCTATGATTCTATGATTCTATGAAAAGAGCAGTGGAAGCTTTCCCAGATTGAGTCCAAGTGCATACTTATTTCTCAAATTAATATTAAAAATAACATTAATTTCCTAGGCACTGAACGTTACCAAGGCTGGAAGTCACCCAAATAAAGACTCCAGCATCTAATTCACGCATGTGCAGTGGACCAGAACTAGACACGTAAGATCCTAAGAATGGCCACATCTGGTCAGATCAGTGCTATCTCTAGCCAATCTCTTGTGCCCATCAGTGGCTTGAACCAGTTGCTTTAGAGGCAGGTGCAAACAAAGTTGCAGGAGACAGTTATGGGATAACCTGCCTACACTCTGGATATTCTTGCTATCCAAACAAATATCCAATTCTTTTTGGAATCCAGCTAAGCTCTTGGCTTCAATCTCTTGTGACAATGAGTTCCGCAGGCTGATTCTGCTTTTAGTAAAACATATATCCTTTGATCAGTATTTTGAGGATTTAAGTAGGACTTATGTGGTGCATGGGCCTCAGAGCTGCCCCTTTCTGTCAAGAATCAGAGCCTGCAGCCAAACCTGGGACCCATTAATTGAGCTCTCTCTGAACACCTTGAACAGTCACATGTGAATTTTTTATTGAAGTGAGAAGATGGAGGTTTCGGCCTTCCAAAAGCCAGGTGGTCTAGTTGATTAAGTACCACCCTAGCAGCTATGAAGTCATGAATTCCTCTGCCACTGGTATTATAATACTTTGCGCTGACATCCTATTTGTACAAACATTACTTAGCTACAATGATTGTAAATATAAACAGCCCCATTTTACTGCTGGGAAAAGGGATGCTCACAAGAGCTTAAAGGGCCAATTTCCAAACCTGAGCTCCTAAACTTGGGCACCCTATTGTGTGTGTCTAAATACTGAGATAGGAGCCTAGATTTGATAATGGGGTTCTACCCCTTTATGGAACAGTCCTATAGAATTTTCAAGACATTAAACCAATAGGATTCTGTAACAATTAGTCTAAAAATATAGAATGTAACCGAACGATTTCTCTTCCGCTGGATTCTATAAATTGTTTAAAAAAATAAGAGAATAATGTAACAACCCCCTGCCCCGCCCTTCCAGCAAAGCTTCATATATGATGCTGCTCAGCTCCTCTAGCTAACCAGCCTTTTCACATGGGATTACCCATGACGGGGGATCAATAGGGACATTCACTTTGGAGGGAACTTATTCACAAAATAACAGCTTGAATCTCTGATGGAGTTAAACTTTTCCATCCTAACAATTTATTACAGCACCTGGGACTAGACTACTAAAGCCCTATTCACTGCTATCCTGGCCCCAGGGAAATATTTTCAAAAGCTGGGGCATGATCAGCCATGGCTTCTCAAGCTCACTTGTCCAAAACTTTTTGAAGTCTGTTTACTACGGGTCAGCCGCTGCACTACTGCACAAACTAGAACCTTTCTAGAAATCTCAGAGCTCAATCTGCTAAACAAAACTGCACCAAAGACAACTGAGGAAATCTTCTCTGGAAGAGGAGAGGGGCAACTGAGATTCAGGGAATGAGCAGAGGTGAGTATGCTTATGGAAAGTGGCCACAGTTATGCCAACTCTTGTGATTTTTATCATGAATTTTGTGATATTTATGGTGATATCCCAGCCCCGTTGACTTCACTCAAGTTAGGGTTTCACCGTTGGTGTTTTCTTAAAGCCCCTGCTCCTGGAGTCTTATGATCACATGAGAATCTCAGGTTTCCATTTGTAAATGAAAGTAAGTTTCTAGTGGTCGAAGTTGTGGAGAAAAGCTTGAAAACATGAACCCTAAGACGAGAAATCAAAGAAAAAGCACCCTACATTCTTTATTTTTTAAAATCTCACATTTTTTTAAAGACTAACTCCTGATTTTGGGGTGCTTGTTGGCAATATCGTATAGAGATTCTTGTTCTTTCATCTGTAGAGATCTGGGGCCTGATTCAAAATTGCCACTAAGGCCTCTCTGGCAGTGTAAAGGGACCTTAGACTGATGGAAGTTTATGCTAGGGTGGTGGTGAGGAGATTTAGGGTATGTTGACACCGCGGGTAGGCGTACTTGTGCAAGCTTTAATCTAGCAAGCATGGCTAAAAATAGCAGTGAAGATGCGATGACATGGACCCTGGCATGGGCTAGCAACACAAGTACTTATCCAGGGTCCCGGCCATGATTGAACAGCCCACACAGATGCCTACACTGCCATGTTTTCATTGGTACTTGTAACCACACTAGCTAGATAAATGTCTACCCCCTCTGCAGTCACACCTCCGATTGCACTATAAACAGATTCATGGATTCCAAGGCCAGGAGAGATCATTGTGATCACCTAATCTGATCTCCTATATAACACAGGCCAGAGAACTGCCCCCAAATAATTCCTAGAGCAGATTTCTTAGGAAAAAAAATCTAATCTGGATTTAAAAATTCAGTGATGGAAAATCCACCTTGACCAATGGTAAATGTTTCCAATTTATGGTTCATTACTCTCACTGTTAAAAATGTATACCTTATTTCCCATCCTAATTTGTTCTCCATGTAGATACTTATTGACTGTAATTAAGTCACCTCATAATCTTCTCTTTGTTAAGGAAAATAGATTGCGCTCCTTGAATCTATCAGTATAAGGCATGTTTTCTAATCCTTTAATCATTCTTGTGGCTCTTCTCTGAAACCTCTGCAATTTATCAACTTCCTTCTTGAATTATGGGCACCAGAACTGGACTCAGAAGTCCAGCTGTGGTTGCACAAGTGCTAAATACAGGGGTAGGTTCCCCTGTTTATTCATGCTGGGATCTCATTAATCCTTTTGGCCACAGCGTCACACTGAGAGCTCATGTTCAGATGATTATCCATCATGGCCCCAAATCTTTTTCAGGCCCCAAATCACTTCTTCCCACAATAGAGTCTCCCATCCTGTAAGTGTGGCCTATGATCTTTGTTCCTAGATACATACATTTACATTTAGAGTTATTAAAACATATGTTATTTGCTTGTGCCCAGTTTACCAAGCTATCCAGATCGCTCTAAATCAGTGATCTGTCCTCATCATTATTTACCACTCCCCCAATTTTTGTGTCCTCTGCAAACTTTATCAGGGATGATTTTATGTTTTCTTCCAGGTCACTGATAAAAATGTTAAATAGCCTAGGGCCAAAAACTAATCCTTGCGGAACCCCACTAGAAACAGACCCTCTTGATGACGATTCCCCATTTACAATTACATTTTGAGACCTATCGGCTAGCCAATGGTTAATTAATTTAATGTGAGCCATGTAAATTATATATAGTCCTAGTTTTTTAATCAAAATGTCATGGGGTACCATGACAAATGCCTTATATACGCTTAGTGTCAATGAGACTTCAGTATGCCCCCTAGTGGTGATAGAAGGAGGAATTTTCTGGGTATGTCATGAAGCATGACCATCTGCATGACAGGGTCTGTTCAAACGTCTCAGGGTTATATGTAAACAACTCAGGGATCTTTAAGTCTTTACAGAGATCTGGACATCAAAAAAAGCTGGACACCTCTTTTGCCGTTGAGAGTTCACTTTCTGCAATTGATGTAAAACATTCCTGCCTTAACCCCTTCCCCTAAGGGCGATGGCAAACATCCTTCACAGCATATACGGGGGGGGGAAGGGGGGGAGGGGCGTATGATTCACAGATCAGGGATGCCCCGGTGTGAATGGCACCACCTGAGCAATAAATAGCTTACAATGCTAGAACCTGAATGATTTCAAAGCACATTGCAACCTTTCACATGCAAAGCTCTTTACCCACCACTGGAGTGCAGCTCTCTCTGGAGTGGGACCTGGCCGTTGTCTAGCGCCTTTATGCAATCCTTTAGATTGCGAGGTGCAGAAGAATACAGAATCTGATGAAAGCAGTGAAGAGGGGATTAAGTAGCCAGGATATAACTGCCAAAGCAGCAATTTGTCCAGAACAGTGAGGATTAACATTCTGCTCTTGCAAAAAGTGCCAGGGGCTCCTTAGTGACCACAGTTGATCAGGAGCTGGGTTTTGCAGCTCATCAGAAAGACGGGGTTGTGCTCCTCACCAGGTCTGGAGCAGTCTGGCAGGACCTGGGCCCCACCTAGTCCACTGATTTTGGTGGGACACTTACCAGCCAGAGGCAGCACTCAGCACAAGCAATGGGGTCACAATCTAGACTGCAGTGAGGAACAGCTAAAATCGCCAACACTTTCCTACGAATCGACTCTGCCCTTTCAGGTTCCTGCCAGCTGTAAACTCTCCTTCTCCCTCTCGTTCCGTCTCTTGTAATTATTTCATCAAATCAGCCTCTTTTTTTTTCCTGACTGTGAGTTTCAAGCCGCCAACTCTGCTCTGTGATAAATCTTCCTAAAAGGACAGCTGCTTCCTCCTCCCCCGCTGGCTGGGTGGGTTCTTGTGTTTTCTTTTACACACATCCCCACTATATCAATATATATATTTTTAACGTAGCCTTCTTTTCCTCTCAGTGATATTTCCTGTCCGCCCTCTCCCTCTTGCTCCCCGTCTCACTCTGTGCTTCCTCTCTCTCCGCCCCCGCTCGGCAATTTGTCACTGCTCGAGTGTATTTTTCTTTTTTAGAACTGCGTTCGCATGGCTGTCTCCCACCAACACAAAGTGCCTGGCCCATTAACTTCAACTGGCAACCTGAACGTCGAGTCGCATTGCCCAGTGATATACAATGCCTTTGAGCTGCCGGAACTGGCCGGGAAAGCATTCCAGGCCTTGCTTCACCCACATCCACTAGGAGAGAAAATTACTCGTGAGGGAGGGGAAATACGCTCTGCTGGGATCTTTAATTTTTTTTTTCTCGTTCATGAATTATAATCTTTTACTTATTAAAGTTTTACTGTTTCCTAATGGGTGTTTTACTGCAGGATTTATAGCGGTTTGCAAAGGGTGATAACTATCCCACGAGCGCTCCAGCTCTGCTCAGTAGGGTTGGATCAATCATGCTGGCAAAGTTCAATCCAGTCGTGTTGCCGTATTATTAACTCAGATGGAGGCAATATTACACGGATACCATGAATTGCCCATATTTAAATGAACAAGTGTGCATTGGAGGATTCATTAGGCATCACTGCTCATTGCACATTGCCAATGATCAGACCGTTTTACTTTGCTGTTGCTCCCGCCATCTTTTAAATGACAATTTAAGACATCTTAAAGGACAGCCAGCAAGGAGGCAGGATGACTCCAGAGGTTGTTAATAGACTTTGGCGCTCGTGCTGCTCTCAGTTACAGGTTTGATTCCAGCTTCACAGATGTCTGGGTAACAGAGATCATTACCTGAGTTGACGGCTTGTAAAGAGCTACCAGAGGAGGACGTTTGCAGGGCACAACAAAGAGTTTTATTGGTCCAACACCAACCCAAGAAGTATGCTACATATTCTTACGCACCATTTGCTTGCTCCTTATTTATGTATGTACTCACAGATGTAGAGCGCTCTTGTAACAACCAGAGGACAAAGATTGGATGGGTCCTGGTAATCCACACCAGGAAAGTGAGTCTTTGTCCCCCCTCTGGTGGCTACTCACATAGCAGTCAATGAGTCTGCTTTGGCTACTAAGTAAAGCTCTTTAACTGGAGTGGTAGAGGCTTATGCTTTTTGCTCTGACGGTGCCAGGTTCAAACCCCACTCATGTCCTCAGTGGAGTCAGTTACACATACACAGGGAACTATTCTGTCCCCTGTAGAGTGCTCCCTCTACTTTACGGTAGAACCCGGGGGAACCTGAATGGCCCTTGTTTCTGCTGTGGTGCAGTGACTCTAAAGGCCTGACTGGCACCAACACAGTGATTCATTCCTGCAGGGAAAGGCTGTGCAGGTGCATTGCAAACAGTTTGGCTCACTGGCTGGGCGATGTTGTAACTCCCTTCCATGTCACTTTTGTGAAGGAAAATAGGACGCCCCTCAGAGTAAGGGTACTGTAATGATAGTGTAGTTAATTGCAATTATACTGTGGTTATCCTATTTGCTACCTGTAATTACCACTAATTCATAGAATCACTACGTGATTACACTGCATACAATGTAGTTAGTATACCTGGATTCTAACAGCTTCCCCCAACCTCCATGTGCGGGGAACATAAAAGGCAGCCTGCTCTGAGTAGGTGTAGGGCTGGGCGGAGCAGCATTGAGCTAGGAGGTTATCTAGACACAGGGATCTGCAGAAGGCCTGGTTAGTGGTTCCCATACTGAGATGGAGAAGGAGAAGGCATCATCAAAGAGCCAAAGAATTTGCCTAGAGGCAGGCTACAGAAGGACTCTATGAGGAGGGACTTGTGTAGGGGCAGCCAGAGAAGACGGCCTGACAAGTGCCAAGCACTGTAAAAAGTGGCTTAAGGAAACAGTGGAGCAGAGCAGTCTTGGGCTGAGGGCAGAGTGCTGTGCTGTGCACAAGTTAGGGCATCAGCCCTGGGATCCATAGTGCAGGCAGGCTGTGCCACCCGCAGAAGTGCTGTAGCAGCCGGTGCACCACGGGAAAGGAGTGTTTAACCCAGGGAGTGCTGATGATGAAGAATCTGTTTGGCTTGTTGTTTGGACTTTGGCATTGGCTGGAGAGTCAAAAGCACTAAAAGTTACTAAGGGGAGACTATAGACTAGACCAGAGGTTCTCAGACTGTGGTCCACAAGCTCCATTCAGGTGGTCTGCGGATAGTTCCCTCTAAGATGCACCCCTGGGTGGTCGCACACTGGAGAATGAAGGGCCACCCGTCTAATTAGTGGAGCCACGCAGGGGGTAGGTGGGAGGGGTAGTGGGGTGAGAAGACGGGGTGGGGGGGAATTTGGGATGTGCAGAGCTGTGGTGGCCAAAGAAAGAGGTGACTTTCCCCAGCTCCAGGGCTGTGGCTGCCAGGGAGAGATGGCCCTCCTTCCCAGTCCCAGCTCAGGGGCTGCCGCAGCAGGGGGGAGAGGGAGAGATCCCCCTTCTTCCCAGCCCCAGCTTGGGGGCTGCTGCAGTGGGGGAAATTGGGAGAGACCCCCCCTCCTTCCCAGCCCCAGCTCAGGGGCTGCTGCGGCGGGGGAGAGAGGGCACATTCATCGCATTAGAAAGTTAAGACTACTGATATTAAAATATGAGTTTTGTGCTTTTATTTGTAGAACAGAAAAAGTTAATTATTATTATGTTTTTTTTTTTTATATAGCTCTTTTAACCAAAGCGCTTTACAGTAGTTAGCTATTGGTAGAAACAACATTTGGAAAGATCATTAAGTGGTCCGCTGAGACCCTCAGCAATTTTCAAGTGGTCTGCGAAGAAAAATGTTTGAGAACCACTGGACTAGACCAAAAAATGTGAGCAGGTGGGGAAACTGCGGCAGTAGGTCTAGTGATGTAAGAACCCATTACTAGTCCCCTTCTGACAAACTGTGACTGTGTAAAATAGCCAGAGTATCAAGTGTTGCAAGCCTGAGGGCGAAGGTACGTTGGCCCGAGAAATGTGAGCTTTGGCGTAGAGCACAAACCAGGGAGAAGAAAGACCCGCAGGTTCTGGTTTTGCTCATTACCACTAAACCATAAAGGTGGAAGTTTTAACGACCTGACTCATTTTCAGATAAACAATTCGGCATCACAGATACTTTTTCTTTCATGAAATGACACGTCTTCCCCGCCCCTCCTCAATACCAGCCAAAGATATGGCTTGAGTGCACTCAAACGCACATAACTATTTATTCGGAACCAATTTCATTTTGCATGTATTTTGGGTTGGCAGGAGCCACATGTGGCCTAGTTATTTTTCGGAAGTGATGAGTGATTTGGGGTGCCACAGTTTTCAGGACCCAACTTGGGAAGCCTTAAAAGGGCCTGAGTTTTTTAGAGGACAGGTTCTCGGCACTCTCTGAAAATCCAGCTCAAGACGTCTCAAGTTGGGCATCTGACAGGACTAGTCACATCGAAAAGTGTCGGTCCTGTATGTCTCTTTATCAGCAGGTCACCACAAGCTCCGCCCCACTCCACCTCCACTGCTTTGTTTCCCTGTCTTTCTTGACATGAATGGGTCACCAGGATACTTCTGTCTCCCGGACTGCTGAAAGAATGCCGGCAGGGGGTCAAAATCGCTCCTACTCTGCTGCAAGCAGGACCTAAATTCTGCAGCAAGAATGCCTGTCGACAGTGCAACAGACAGGAAATGCTGTGGCAGCTGCAGGAAAGTTGGAGGATGGAGGTTTTTAGTGAATGAAATATGAAAATGAATGATGCAATCAGCACCGTGCGCCTTGCTTTACTTAGTTTGAGACTGAATTCAAGTTATTTTATCCTGCTGATTGCCCCTGCAGTCTCTACGTTGTGCTGATTTTTGTGTCAGCTGCACATAATTGCATTTGCATTGTAGAAGTTGTTGGGGACACAGGGAGAAAAGGGAAGAAATAGGACTGTGGGACAGCACCCCAAACTAAGCCACTTCGTATGGCTTCTCAAGTGCCAAACACACCAGCTGGACATTTCTGCTGCCTGATCACCAGGCAAAGTTGCTGGCTAATGCTGACATTTTAGCGGCCATCGTTAGGTTTCAGAGTATAATGCGATGGCCGCCACTCATGTGTCCCCTTGTGGCCAGGGGTGCCTCTGCAGTGCCCTGCCCCTATTTTCCCCTTCTTCAGGACTCCTTAAACAAATCTCCACACAGTCTTGCTTGTTCAATCACAGCCTTTCTTGGGGTCTGGCGTCTTTATTAACACAAAGTTCCAAAAAGCGACCATAAAAACAAATCTTCCTTGAGCTGGGCACAGCGCCTCCTCCCTATGGCACTATCCCTTCCTGCTGTCTGAGCAGATAGAGTAGATACCAGGCCTGGCCTGCCTTCGTCCAAAGCAAAAACAAAGCTTGCAGCTGGGTCTTCTTACCCAGCTCCACCTCCTTCTTCAGGGACCACTACAGGAGCCCGCTCCCTGCAGCTTCACTCTGCAGTCCTCCCTTCTCAGCGGCCGCGTAGCCAGGTGGAGGGAACAGGGGGAGCAATGCAAACAAAAGGCGCCACCCGCTGCGGCGCTTTTACTCACCCAGCGGCGCTCCGGTGGCCGGGCCTCACTCGCTCCAGGTGTCTTCGGTGGCACTGAAGGTCCCGCCGCCGAGGTGCCACCGAAGACCCGGAGCGCCGCCGGGTGAGTAAAAGCGGGGGGTGGCGCCTTTTTTTTGGATCGCTCCCCTTGTTCCCTCAACAGGGGAAAATTTAAAAGGCTCCAAGACATAGACAAGGCGCCACTTTTGCTCAGTGGGGGGCGGCTGCTGCCCCGCTCCCCCCCTAGCTACACCATTTCTTCTCACTCTGCCCTCACTGAGTGACCTCGGAGACTTTATAGCCCAGGCGCAGCGTGAGCACCCGCCCTGGCACTGGGCGCTG